TTTTCTTCCTTTCATGCATTGCTCTCTCTTTGTACGTTCACCCGTTCTCGCTGATCCCCGGCCATCTTATTCAACGTCCGAGGACGGACGTTTTGGTGGAATGGGGGAGGTGTAAGAGCCTTAGCGGCTCCGACAGGGATCAGCGCGATTCGGATGAATCATGCCAAGGATCGATGATGACGTGAACCGTTCAGGAATGCCCGACGAGCAGATCTGGAGGAGGAGCTTCACAGGAGTCATTCTGGACCGTACCCGTCACCCTGCCAGGCCTCGGGCCTGATGCCACGCTTCCAGTCCACCGAAGCCTGCGGCCACAAGGGCCATTTCTCCGATTCTTGTTGTATAATAAATATTATATGAATATTCGGTATTCACACAACAACGGAGAATCTTAGTGGTAGCAGCGAGGGCGTCCTCCAGGCGGGGATTGGTGAGTTTTTTTCAACTTGTTCTTTTTCCTCACTTTACCTCTTAGTTTGCCTTCTTACTTACTTTTCTTCAACGGCTTTTCTTCTTCTTTCTTTCAACAACGCTCACATGGGCAGCTTTCGGATTTCCTTAGAACTTTGGCTAGCTGCGCTTCTGCAATACTTTTTTCATAGACTTTAGATTTTAGGCATCGCTTGGTCCGTCAGGTACTTCTCGACCGTATTTCTGACCACGGTGTGTCTATCCAAGAAACTCTCGCCTCTCTAGTTTTTCTTCCACTTCGAGCTTGTTCTCCCTCGTTTATGAGTCAGCCTCACCATCGGGTTTTTCTGGAATCATCACAACCCCATCGAACGACTTTTCTTTTTCAACATACCGAAGACGTCTTCCTACGTTCTTCCTTTATCTTTCCCTTTTCTCTTCCACTATTTTTTTTTCTCCCAGCGGCCCTTTGGGCCATACGACCATCTTTCCTGATTCCTGCAGAGGGAAGGATTATTTCATGGCCATGTACAGGTTGATCATTTTTCCTTTTCTTCTTCCTTTTTTTTCAGATAGAGACACATTGTTCGGTTTCCGGAATGGTATTGATAAGGTTTGGGTACCCCGGGGATCGGATGGTTCATCCCCTCTAGCTCCAAGCAACCGTGGTATGATGTAGAACAAGTGAACGTCGATGCGCACACGTATTTTCAGGTCAGTGAAGTGATTTTGTACGTTACCAGTTCTTTATTTTGTTCTTCATTTTTTCCTTAGTTTTCGTTTTTGAGCCTTTTTGGATACCACCATACATGTTTTTCTTTTCTTCCTCCTTTTTCATCCAATTCCTTTTTCTTATTTTGCTGCTTCGTTGCTTTTCCTCGCTAATGTTCTCTCTCGTTTGGTATGCGGCCTCTGTTCTTCTCCTAGCGAGTTGCATACAAAAGTTACTTTCAAGGCTGCGCTGCATAAAACGGTTGGTGGCGGCTATGTTTACGTTTTCTAGCGCTGCGGCATAGCATTTCCCAGGCGCGCCGCCGCCTTATCAGCAACATCTCAACAACTACAGTACCCCCGGCATCCACAACTTTGTGACCAACGTCTGCGGGGGAGCGGTGTTTTCAAAATACATGTACTGTAAGCGCGCTTTTCTCATCGCTGTAATGCTTTTAACGCGTCTTTATCTCTCTTCAGAGGAATTCGCGCATTACAGCGCCGCACTTCGCATTTTTGCGCAAGCATTTTTTTTCTCGCG